TGAAAAATCGAAGTTTCAAAATTTAGTGGACAACAGATAATCGACTATGTTGAATCCGAATATGACATCCGTTTTGGCTCTTAGACCTCCAGAGACCGGATTTCTAGAAAACCAGTTTTTTTCAGAAACTGAAAACCAACGCAAGCTCTTCTCATATGTATCCCGCACATTTCTGATTAAACTGAAACCTCTCCCAGCTCCTTATGTCCTTTCTTTGCAAAGTTATAGAGTTCACACGAAGAGTAATAAATTAATGTCTTCTTATTTCTGTTGTTTCGAGCTGACAATGAACAATTTAGGGCTTTTCTTGTAAATTCTATACCTTGAAAGTATCTTCAGTATCGGACTTATACGGCTCTTGACGTGAGGGAGGAGGCCACTATAGAGAGGTTTAATTGGATGTATAACTCCATAACTTATATCTTACCTTCGGTGATGAGTAAAATCTTTTTTATTCAATTTACGGGAGAGGTCACGCGACATCCGAGTGATTTATACTAAAGAATAAAAAAATATTTTGCTGACAGTCAATGTCATAATTTTTATTTTACAGTGTTGTAAAACATTTGCGCAGAACTATCCAAAGTAAAGGAACATGGCGTAAAACTTCTAGAACAGTTGAAATTCTTCCTAGCATTAACTATAATTATGCTTTTTTGTACATTTTCAGAGTGAATAAACATCGATTTAAGCAATACGTATGAATAGTTTAGAAAAAGATGATGCAAATAACTATGAAACAGTCGAAGAAAAGCTGAATAAAGAAGACTTTATCTTAATACGGCTTGATGAATTCTTAGATTCAAATCAAACAGATTTTCGAGCATTGTCTAAACTACGCGAAATTGTTTATTATTTAAAAACTTTTACAGATGTAAAACAGTGTGAAAACTATATAAGAACACAACTAAATGAAAATATATTTTTAATTGCTTCTGCCACAATTGGACAATTATTTGTCCGTACTATACATGAACATACACAAATAAAATGTATCTATATTTTATGTCAACATAATCGACAACAGTTGACAAAATGGACAGCGGATTATTCAAAAACAATGAATCATATCTATACACATGTTGATCCGTCGATTAACACACTTAAAATTGATTTGTATAGATGTCGAAAAACATTATTAAATTATAAAATTAAAAACTCTATAATTGATGTATAGTTTAAAACAGCCGATTTCAAATTGTCACATTTATTGGCACAGACATTGGTACGTTTACCACGTGAAGAAAAAGCAAAAAATGAAATGATTAAAAATTTGAAAGAATATTATCATGATAGTCAATTTAATATAGAATTTATTGATGATTATATTGTCAATTATCAGCCAAAAGATGCAATAAAATGGTATACAAAAGCAGGATGTTTATTTCGAATATTGAATCGAACATTTCGCGAAGGAAATATTGATAATATGTACAAATATCGTTCATTCATTAAAGATTTATCAGAACAAATAGATATTCTTTGTCAAGAACATTCTGAATTGGGTATAACAGACTACATTGCCTATCGTGGTACATGTTTAAGCTATCAATATATTGATATATTGAAAGTAAATAAAGGAAAACTTATATCATTTAATGGATTTTTATCAACAAGTCTAGATAAACAAATTGCTCTACTATTTATGCAACAAAATGATGAAGATAATGAAATGGAATCAATTTTATTTGAATATTATGTTGATTCAAAAATATCGGCATCATTTGCCTATGTTGGTTTATTAAGTGTTCATCCGGATGAAAAAGAATTATTAATCAATATTGGCACTATATTTCGAATTGATGATATTCAATATGATGAGAAGGAAAAACTATGGCATGTTAAACTAATGATTTGTGAAAAAACCTATCATATTGGACAACATTATTTAGATGAAGATGATGGACAACAACCAAGTAATCTATTAAATTTTGGCCGTTTATTAATTGAAGCTGGTCAAACGGAAAAAGCAGAAAAATTTTATTTGAATTTGTTAAATGACTATATTAATAATAATGATTCTAAAGCAACATGTGAATGTTATAATGGACTAGGTTTAGTTTATTTTGATATGAGTATTTATCAATCATCACTTGATATGTATTTTAAAGCATTAAATTTTTCATCAGATAAACAATTTTTAGCAAATACTTATTGTGGTATTGCAAATGTATATGATAATATGGGTGAATACGATTTGTCATTAGATTATTATAATAAATCACTTTTATTAGATGATGATGAATCTTCAAATAAGGCAACAACTATGAACAATATTGCCAATGTTTACCATCATAAAGGTGATTATAAAACATCTATTAATTATTATCATAAGGCACTTAATCTATTTAAACAGACTCTTGACAATGATAAACATCCAAAATTAGCTGGTACATACAATAATTTAGGTCTTGTTTATACACGCAATGGTGAATATGAAAATGCTATTGATAATTATCAAAAATCTTTATCAATAATTAAACAAACATTACCATCTAATCATGCACTATTTGCAAAATGTTATAATAATATTGGCCTAGTTCATTTCTACAATGGTGATTCTAATTCTGCATATGAATATTTTTCAATGGCATTGGATGTGACATCAAAGACAACAATATTACATTCAGATATTTCTGCAACATATGGTAATATGGGTATTATACATTGTATTCAGAATAATTATGATCTGGCAATTTCTTATCATATAAAGGCAATAGATATTTGTAATCAAATATTATCAAATAATCATCCTGATCTTGGTGCAAGATATGTTGATCTGGGTTTTACACATGCTAAGAAAGGAAATTTCGACGATGCTATGATGTATTACGAAAAAGTACTATCTATTTTCAATCAATCATTGAATATCACTATACAACACAATGATTATCATCCAAGAATTGCTCATGTTTATAGTAATATCGTATTATTGTATACGAATAAGTGTGATTTTGATAAAGCTCTTCAATATTTAACGAAATCATTTGATATCAAAGTGAATGTACTACATTCAAATCATCCTGACTTAATAAAAAATTACACGAATTTAGGAACTGTTTATCATCGTAAGGGTGACTATAATTTAGCTATGGAACATTATCAAAAATCTTTGCAAGATCTTTGCAGATCTTTTACAAGAGACATATGAAGAAAATCATATTAGTTTAACAACGATTTATGATAATATAGGAACAATTTATTATGAAAAATCGGATTTTGATTTAGCACTCATTTATTATAAGAAATCAATGAATATTCGTCAGTATGTTTTGAAAGAGACTCATTCAGATATTGGAAATAGTTTGAATCTTATTGGACGAATTCATTCGAATCAAAAACAATATGATAAAAGTCTTATGTGTTATAAACAAGCACTTGAAATATATAATAAGGGAGACTCAAAGAACACTATTGATATTGCAATTATCTATCATAATATGGGAGATGTTTATTTTCAACAAACAGAATATGAAACGGGTCTTAAATATTATAATAAATCATTAGAGACTTTTAAAACTATTTTGAACGAAAATCATTCACATATCGCTACTGCTTACACGAGTATTGCTAATGTCTACTATCAAACTGATAAATATGATTTATCGGCTCAGTACTATATGAAATCACTTAAAATTTTACAACAAATATATCCAAAAAATCATCCGGAAGTTGCTGTTACTCTAAATAATATTGCAAATGTATTTTGTAGTACAGAACAATATGATTTTGCAATTGATTGTTATGAAAAATCACTTGAGATATATAAAATGAATTTTCCAATAAATCATCCAAAAATAAAAGTAAGTCAAAACAATCTGGCATTATGTTATAAAAATCTTGCATCGAATTATGTTAATGATAACGAAGATTATAAAATGGCACTTGATTTATGTCAAAAAGTCTTAGAAATTTATGAACAGACATTACCAGAAACTCATATAAACGTTGTGACAATCAAACGAGACATTGAGACGTTATTGCAAAAACTAAGTTAATATTATGGACTTACTAACAACCACTGAATCTGTTAGTACTATTATAACCGCCGCAGCTTCGTCCATGATCTTTTCTCTTGTTCTGATTCATTGTTGATAAAATTTACAAATCGAATGAAATGCTTTTAATAGTTTAATGTGTACTTTTTCGGCCTCCCGGAACTGAAAATAATGTCTTTAAGCAGTCATTGTCAGGTTATTTCAATAGAACCGTATAGCCTGTATAAAGTCAATGATACATTCCTATATCTGATACATTATTATAGACGAAGTAACAACAACAACAATGACTGCCACGCAACTAAATTTGAATGTTAAAAAAGTGACAAATGTTTTTGTAAAGAATAAGAGAGGAAAATATGTGTACCTTAATATTCTTTGTGACATATTGTCTGCACTTCTGACAGAGATCAAGATCATCATGCTAAATCATGCGCCAAACAATGGTGTCACGTAAATGAAATCAATGTTCAGAAACAACATTAAAAAATTATCTCATAAAAGAAACAATAGAATTGTCTCAAAAATATACTCATTTTGTGACAGTACTTAGAGGATAACTAAAGCAAATATCCAAAAAATAATTTCAGTTGTGTCATCTTTCACTTCTCTACTTTCGAATCATCTTTTGCCGAAATGACGATCAGTGGTAACCGAGAACGAGTGGCTGACTCGAGCGAGAAAAACGGGTAGAAAGAAGAACTTTTTCTGCTGAAACAGAATAAGTCTTCTTGAGTTTCACTCAATCGACTTAACAAAGTGAATAGAAAATAAACTATGGAAAAGCTAAGAATAAAAGTCATAATGAAATGTCAGCTGTTTCCGAAACTAAATGCACTAAGTGTGATGGCCAATTACGGCTTCTGTTTCTTACGAAGATCGTACAAGCAAAGGCTGAACTGAACATTCATCTTTTAACCATTTCTCTGATGTAGAATGTTTGATTTTCTTCTGATACCGAGTGCTGGTAACTGGGTATGTACAAAAGTACATACACCACTCTTTAAAAAAAGTAGGCATTTTAAAAAATCTAAAAAGGGAAACGTACACCCTGGGGTATACGTTTCACTGTCATACTAACTCATAAGTCCGTTTTGTCAATTTATACAAACAAAAAGCGGCATAAAACAGACATTTCAAACTCTCGTAAGAAATTGACAGTACTACTGCCTTAGACTCTGATAGTCATTCACTTGAAAAAGAGTGTAGTTAAATAGTTGAATATTTTCACTATTTCTTCTTGACGAAAGATCGTGGAAAGTGCAAGAACATCTCATTTTCTTAAGCAGAGTTTACCCATGAGGATTTTTCCAATAGACTTATCCAGATATATCGTGGTGTATCCTATCGTGATATAACATATCCAACGATTCATCGCTATGTGTGATCTTATTGCGTTATATGTTGAGTGCATCACGATTACATAAAATATTGAACAATATCGGCGAACATGCTATACAATCACATACAGGAATATCGCGATAAGCTTAATACATGGTATTAAGACCACTCATTGCATGAATCGGTGGATATGTTACAACACACACATCATGATGCGATATTTTATCGCGATCAGTGTCACACCACGATATATCCTACTGTTTCCATCAAAAAAGTTCTCATGGGTTTATCTAAAAATCAAGTCAACGACATCATCTCGAGATCTGTTCCTTCTCGGAAAATATGAAGAGTGCAGAATAGTGAAAAAACGTGGGAAAATTTCATTTTAATAGGAGAAGTATGTGACCAAGCCCTTTATCATTGGATATGAATGTCTATCATTGCTCCCTATTTGATTGCCTTATATACAGTTGATATATTTCAGCCTAAGTACACGTAGACGGAATTCTGGTTTTAATTCTTTGATGACGACTGAAATTATCAGTGCAATCTTCCACATTTTAAATAAAATGTTAGTTGTTGCTCTCCTACAAATGATTTTGACCTATTTCAACGTTATGTCAACAAATAGAATTGGAAATTGGGATATTCTCCAATCTAAGCTGAACATTTTATTTTTATTCTATTTCTAGGTGTTGTGCCGTATGTATTTGATCGTAGTTTATTATGTGAACATTTTTCATTACATTCAATATCATTACATTTAAAACGTGATTCAGATTTCATAGCTCTTCTCTATTATTTACCATTATTGACTGACTGCCATGTGACATGTGATGAACGTGGTACAATAAATCAAGATGAAATTTATTATCTTGAACCTTTACCATATCTTGTCAAATTTCAATATTTTGGCACTATGTTAACGACCGATCTTCGTTTATTACTTGAACTCGTTCTGTCAAATGGAAAAAGAAAATTAAACTATTTATCACTTTATTGTAGAGAAGAACAATGGCCAATATACACAATTTTAAATAAACAATTTTTACAAACATATCTTGACAATGGACAATTTGAATTTTATTTCAAAATTATTTCACAAACACCACTGATCAGACCACAACTGGGTAAGAACTTGAGAAGACAAACCTAAATTATCTTCCCACATCATATTAATTTCATATTCTCTGCTAATCGTAGGAATTAGTATGTCAAATGTAGGATATTGTATAACACAAGAAATGTTCGGTCAAATTTATTCTTTACCATTTGCCTTTGAAAAATTTGATATATTTTCAAATGAATATTTTGATCTTGTCGAACATCCAATTGACAATAATCATAACTTTTCATCAGTGAAATCAATCTATTTGTATGGCAGTGGTTCCATCTTTGACTCTCACTTTTTATTCAAATTATCTGAAATGTTTATCAGTTTGACAACATTAGAATACACAAATCCCTATCATTCATTGAAAAGACATCCATTTCAATTACACAAGTACGATTTCAAAATTGATCAATTAAAATCGTTAATTATTCATCATTCACAATATTATTCTATAACTGAACCATTACTATTATTAACACCCAATGTAATAGGTAGGAGAAAGTGAGATGGTGTTCTTTATCGTTTTTCCTCGATTGTTTTATTGTAGAATTAAGTATCGAATACGGTTATCTAATGCAGCTAGCATCACTCATCACATCACCACAACAATTTAATCAAATACGTTCACTAACCGTCTTGTGTTTCAATGAATTTTATGAGCAATTCTTTTTTCATCTATTTCCAAATGTTGAACACCTTCATCTCTCATTCGAATTGATAAAATCTACAATTTATCGTACACATTTTTCATTTATAAATAATCTGTTTGAGTGTATGAGACAATCATTGTCAACATTGAAAATGTCCAATATTAAATGTCCATTTGATGGTGGTAAATATGCGCTAATAGCAATGAAAGAAAATTTTCGTCAAAGTATATACAAATATTATAAAAATGCTTGTATCAATTGGTTAAAACAAGAAGTCAGAAATAAACAACGCTATACAGTATTATTTTCTATTTGAAAACAATTGAAAAAAACCGGTATTGTTCGTTCACGTTTGTGTCTTTTGTTTGTAATCTCTTTTTCGTATCTCAAGTTTTTGTTTGTCCGATTTTAATTGTTTTTGCATGTTCTATGATCTTTCTTCTTGTTGTTCAATGTGTGCTTAGCCATTATTATGTGTGCTATCCGACATTTTTTGGTTATTCGTTGTCTGTCAACTTTATCCAATTTTTTTATTTATACCGCTTTTTGCTTTTGTCTTTCAGGGAAGAGTACGTTTATTAAGTACTAGCCAGTTTTATTTTAAAACTTATTGTTTTGTCTATTTTCAGACGTAGTATTATTTTTTCACTTGATCTCTCTCTTTCTCTGGTATTGTTGTAGTTTTATCCTACAGACGGTGACAAACTAATTTTGACTCAGGTAACTGACTTATTTAGTATTCTCAAGGAGAAGAATGAATTTTTTGTTATGTATTGGATTTTATTTTATTTCTATTTTAATCATTTATTTTATTATTTGACATTATTGCAAAACAGAATAAAACAACTATCTCCAACTGGACAATGTTTTATAAAAAAACCTGATACTTCCCGGAGTGAGTCAAGGCGCTTTAAGGGTGCCTGTTCCTCTCATGTGTGGACCTTCTCAGAATGGCTGACGGAAATTAACGAAAAATGACAAAGAGTTCGTATTTCCAGAACAGATAGAAAAGTCCTTTGTGCATATTGCAACTCTTTATCTGTCGTTCTTCTCAAGGTTTCAAGAATACTCGGTTTTTCATTGGCAATCGTCACGAGTCCGTCGAAAAAACTCATCCGATCGGGTTCAAATTTTACAAGAGATACTTGACACCATATCTCGGAGATGATTTTGTTTTCTTTTTGGAGATAGGATCTGACAAACATCTGATAAAAATTCGAGCTTGATGGAGATGGATACCCTTAAGTCAACCATAGATTACTAGATAGAGGATCGAAACCCTTAATTCTCTATTAGTCAATTTCTTTTTGTTTGAACATAATTGACATAGATCACTTCAATCATCAACATTTGAAATCGCTTGATTATTGAGCACTAGAAACATGATAGTCCTGAATCTGGAAAGTTCATTCCTTGCAGTTTTTTCTTAGCTCAGGTTTTCATCACAACTAGTTCAATTTTTTGTTTTTTCGAACGATACGGTGCTGATCAGCAGCTTTATTTTCGATTTCCCTTTCGTAACAGATAAAGGGGATTCTTGAGTGGTCCGGGCAGAGTGAAAAGGTGTGTGCATGTGAAAGTTATGTCACAGTCGCTGAACACTAACACCAGATTACCTGCTTCGATTGAAAACTTTTTTACGACCAAAGTGATCGAATAGAGTAGACACTACAAAGTTTAAAATAACGAAGATAAAAGAACAGTCGCATTTTTAGTGAAACTCTGACTCTGGTTTTCGAAAATTTCATAATTCGAGGCAAGAACGTTTCTAACTTTTTTTTTTTCTTCTTCTAAAATAGTTTGAACTATCCACTTTTCCATGGACCATGTTTTTCAGAGACTAATCCAGAGAATTTGATTGTTTTCGTTTTATACTTTAATAAGCGCATATAAAGAGACGCTGGAAGGTCGTCTGACCTATTTATCAGTTACTCAACTGTAGTTTGACGCGGGTAATTGTAATCGTACTTTAACAAAGAGTTGAGTATGAAATCCGTTTTTGAGTGGAACAACATAAGTTGACTATTAGAATTATATGCGGTCATTCCAAATAGACATTTTTGTGTCACCATTACTTCGTGCGATACACAGTTTTGTCGAGAAACTACTCTTCCGCTGCAATCTATTATACTGGGGACTTAGTTTTCTGACCGATGGTGCATGGAAAAATGTACTTTATTGAACATATGGCTTTTTATCACATAACATGACTTTCTTTTGCCTCTTTTCGCACTGTGATTTTGACTGAGGCACCGCATACTAACAATACACCTATTCCGCGATACCGCAATTTATTTTGTAAAATCGTACACTTACAGTCAACGAACACACATACTACCCATGGGGAAATTTTATCGACTTTTCACGCGTGAGGGCCCGTGAAATGTCAGCTTGGACTTTCACGAAATTTTGTAGGTAAAGACCGCAAGTTTCACGACAGTTTGGTCGTGTTGTTGCAACATCACACGCGTGGCTACGCGTGAAAAATCTTCACACGCGTACACAAGTGAACAATCTTCACGCGTGATTACGTGTGAAAAAATCTTGACCATGCCGACCATCTATAGTCAACTGACTATACATGGTCACCATGGTCAAGGTATAATGCAGATTTCATCAATGCAACTTCATCTATAACTTTTTCCACGTGTGACCACTAGTTTCTAAAATATCACATTTTATATATATCACCGCAAAGTAAGAGTCGAACCAGGGTACTTTGAATTAGAAATCTACGATACTACTATTGAGCTAACTTGCCTGAGAAACTACTGAATAAATCTCATATTCATAGTTTTCGAACCAATCCTCACGAGTTACCACGTGTAAAAAAGTTCCTGTGCGTGATTACTCGTGAACTTCCTAAATCTTTTTTCGTAGTTTCCAACTTTTCCAAACTTTTTTAGTTAATACTTCCTCCCGGAGAACAAGATGATTCCCAGGCATATTTCTACAGCAAATACCTTCGGTCTACAGCAAAGGTTTTCATCTGTATGTATGTACAACTTTCGGAAGATATAGAAGAAATTTGTATTTATGCTTGCCGCTCAATCTTCACGACATTTCGCACCCGTAAAAGGTTTCTCACGTGGACGCGCGTGAAACGTAAGAATTTTGTCGCTTTGAGTCAAGCTTAAATATTATTCACGAAATGGGTTGCGTGAAAAACTGACGTGCGAATAAATGTGAAGGTATTTTTCACAATGAAATTAGTGGGAAACATTTTCACGCGTGTCCGCAAGTGATATTTTTTTACGGAAATTTTAACATGAGAAATTCACATGTGGCCACTACACACTTCATGACTTTCACCTGTGATCACGTGCAAAAAATATGACGCGAAACATTTTCGTGACTAGTTCACCCGTTGTCACAAGTGGAATATATTTTTCACGCGTGCTCACACACCATTTTACGATGTTGACGTGCGACCACAATTCATTTCATGATATTCACGCGTGTGCACACTGCGGTACCTACTAAAATTTTCCCATGAGTATGCCGTTTCTCAATAAGTGGGCACAGAAAATTGTCTGCCACAGTGGAAGCTAGTGTGTGCGGACATTGGTCCCTTTTCTTCTACAGAACAACATAAAAATTTCATCACCTATCTGAATATACATTTGAAACAAGGTAACGCTCGCCTCCACTTGCTCGGTCCCTTGACTTTATTAAGTTGGATCTGCGCAAGCAAACGCCCTTTGGCGACTTATAAATCAAACACAATGCTCTCGCCTCCCTTCGGTCGGCGCTCGCTGGGGCCCTAACTAAGGCATCTTCTGCATTGCTTTTCTTTTTTCATGTATAAGGTTCGTAATCTGATATAAATATATAAATCAAAAATCTGTAGAGGTCTAAACATATTTATGAATTCAAAACAGTGCTCACACCTCCCTTCGGTCGGCGCTCGCTGGAGACCTGCCTAAGACATCTTTTGGACTTTTTCTGTTTTCATGTGTAAGGTTCGGAATTTAATATGAATATAAAGAGCAAAAATCTCAAGAGGTCTAAAACTATTTCTGAATTCAAAACAATTCTCATGCTTCCCTTCTGTCGGCGTTCGCAACCAGTATAGATGAGAAATGCTATGAACTTCTCTGATTCTATCGGAAAATCATCTAATGTAATATAAAGCTAAAAGATTTTTTGCGCACCCTCTGCAGATCCCAAGGAGGTTGGAAGTATTTCTGATCGATTTGTTATAATAGATTATCTATACACTGTCAATTTTATTGACCCTATACCACTTTTTTTGTATTGTCACAGTTGACTGCTATCTGGCGACATCTACCTCCGGCCTATATAGAAAACGTTTGCTTAGCTGTTTACCTCTCTGCATCAGTAGATATTTCAGATGATCTCTTTGAATATTTTCTCTCTTATGTAAAAAATAATTTTCTATTTTTGTCTCTTGTGATTCGCTTATCCATAGAATATCTAACACCCATTTTTCCGTATTTTGCGCACAGACACACAGACAACCATTTCGTAAGATCCTAGACTAAAGTCAAGGGAAAATAGGTCATCGGTCTGTTTCTAGGTAGTTGAGAGAAAAAATAGACAGAACAACAACGAAGTTATACGAAACGAAGACTACGCCTGAGACCCGTGTCTCCTATAGTTTTTATTAATATTTGTTGATTTATTTCTTCGTTCAATAAGTGAGAGTAAACTATAACAAAAATAGCGACTGGTAGAAAATAAATTATAAATATTGTTCAGAAGGATGATTCCACTAAGGGTGATACATATTTAAAGCAAATCGTCTAAGGCCTATTAGAAAAAGATTCATTCATGTATTTTTCCTTTTCTTTCTATTTTCAGAATAGATCTTGTTGAGGAGTCCATCCGCATTTAAGTCTATTTAAACAGTAGAAAAAAAATGGGTCCACGTAAAGGTCAAGTTCAAAAACAACAAGAACAAGTTATTCTCGGTCCACAAGTCGCCGATGGAGAGAAGGTATTTGGTGTTGCGCATATATACGCAAGTTTCAACGATACATTTGTTCATGTTACCGATCTGTCTGGAAAGTAAGCCCACCATATATTTACGAAGTTAACGTTTGAGTGTTGAGAGCTAGTCAGGAAGTACTGAGAATATCAGTTAAGACCGACACGAGTTTGTAATAAATTGTTGTTTATCAGCCGATTAATTAATAATACTGACATATTTGAAGAAATGAGAGCCAAGTACTTTTCTCTGATTTTACAAACAAGCAGATTGTACTGTGAAAATAAAATGTATATAACGGGAGAAATTTTACAAAGAGTAGCACCACATTCAAAGCTCGAGAAGGGCGAAAATCTTGTTAGATAACACTTTTCTTTCTTACATATAGCGGAAAATGTTACTATCCTTTTTTCTGCTACATTGTTTGTTGATTTATCTTTTCTAGAGAAACGATCGCTCGGGTCACTGGTGGAATGAAAGTGAAAGCTGATCGTGATGAAGCCAGTCCATACGCAGCTATGTTAGCTGCTCAAGACGTTGCCGAACGATGTCGAACACTTAATATTACAGCATTACACATTCGATTACGTGCAACAGGTGGAAATAAAACAAAAACACCGGGACCAGGTGCACAATCAGCTTTAAGAGCTTTGGCTCGAAGTGGATTAAAAATCGGAAGAATTGGTATGTAACAGCTTCTTCGACTAAACCCCTCCCCGTAATAGAAACCCCCAGGGCTTCTAAACTGTTCAAGCGTTCAGAATTTGTAGAGGGGCTACTATTACGACTTTCGTAGAAAAGTTTCCAGAAAAAAAAGGAGATTCTGAATTTCGATACTCTTGCCTTTCTAATCACGGTAATCTCAATTAATCTGAAAAAAATCTTTTTCGAGATTAAAAATGTAAATTTTATTTATGTCCTTTTTTTACACACGACATCACAGAAGAAGAATTAAAGTAAAAAAAAGAAAAAAACTGATTAGAATATAAACCAATTTAAGAAGAAGCATTTTTTATCTTTAAACTATATTCTGCTTTTCTTGCATCAACTCAGAAAGATTTCAGTCTATCAAAAATTTCCTGAGTGATAGGTGAAGTAACTATTGTAAGATGCAAATTGTACCTTAATCCTTCTTCATCCATTTTGTATCTTTCACGCTTCTATTCGCATTTGTGTTTTTTTTTCTCTTATTGCAGAAGATGTAACGCCAATTCCATCGGATAGTACAAGAAAAAAAGGTGGTCGTCGTGGAAGAAGATTGTAAGAGCAGAAACAAACACAAAAGAAGAAGAAAACAACAGTATCCGTTTTTCTTTCTGTTGTATTGTTTTTTTGTTGATCTTAAGTTATTTTTTTGCATAAAAATTCTATATTTGTTTATATCATGAAAACAAGAAGCAGAAGAGAAACAAAATAAACATAAAAACTAGTTTACTTTCCATAAGTCTACGATAAAGAAGCTAAAATATTTGTGTATCTATTCCACTGCTCGAGCACTAAAATTAAATAATAGAATATTGTTCATGCTATCAGTGGATGAAAAGAAGGTGAACGCAAAAAAACTGAAAACATTCTAAGTACACTCAAGATTTATTGTATTTCTGCTTTTCTTTCTTGTGTATGGTTAAGCTAGCGTACGAATCAGATTACTCTTCTGATTAGAGTTACAATTGATGACTAGTAATGCTATACGTCACCATGTCAGAAGCTTGTTAGCTGTATGGAGGATATCAGAATGTTGAAACTGACACTTGTCCGCACCCTATATCGGTAACAGTAGCCGTGATGTAGAATATTCTTCCTTTCAGGACGCTTGTTTTTACTTTATAGTTCCTGCATATGCAATGTTTCATTATTTGGCATTTTGGCACTATATCAAGGAGAGTTTACAAGCTCTTTATCTATTTTCATAAGGTTCGCTTGTTTATTTTTAGATGTCATAATCATTTTTTGTTCCTCTCGTACTCACTCAATATGAAGACGATGAATGCTTCAAAGTGTTATTTGAGTCGTGTTTTCATTGTCTATTAGGTTTAGCTCATTTAACTCAACAAGAAAAATGAGTGAAATGCAGTCAGTTAGCCGACTGAATGACTGTAACATTAATCACAAATCAATGAATTCGTGATTAGACTGTGTCACCATCGCCGGCATCCATGGATAATTAGAATTTCTTGCTCCACCAACGATAAGAGTAAAAAAGCGTTTTAGTCACCTCGATAGAAAAAGTTTTGGAATAAAAAAAGTCGTGAAAAATCCAAAAAGGATGAAGTTATGTTATAATCAGACGCATTGACAATCTGAAGAGAGAGAGAGCTCCTCTACCGTCATATAAAGAGTGACCCAAAAGGCCTGTCTTATTCAATATTTTCTCAATATCTCGGTCAAGGTTTCTTTTTTTCAAAAAAAACTCATTCAATTCTCTACACAAAACACATGGAACATTTCTTTATATACTTTAAGAATAAAAAAATATAGAGAAAACACAGGAAAGCTTCAATATCGATTACTTTCAAACTCCAAAAAACAGGTTTTTCAATTTCAGTCCACTATATTTTGTGATATGAAAAAAGAGAAAATGGCCATTTTGTAGTTCTCGAAAAGCTCTATCAGCTGACTATATTTAGGACTCTTCATAGGCTCAAGCAGTCTCAGAAGGATTTTTTTTCTTTCAGCGATTTTGCCCAAAATCATCATTTTCTAACTGCAGTTTTGAGGGACTTAGGAAAATTTGTATGATTTGGTCCAAACCACATATTATGACTTTAGATCTGTTTTATCTTAAAGTAAAACAATTCTTTTGTTACATCCAAATAGAGAAGATTAGAATAGCCCCACTTCGTTGTCTGTGCTAAGGCGAAGACATCAAATTTTCCTATTTTTTTTTACTTTTAGTAAAATCTTCGTTCGCGGCAGAAAACAAGGTTTGTAGCGCATTTACGATACAAGAAAAGGAAGCTGGCATTCTGGAGCATCAGAGAATACATTTCGATTCCACTTTGATGTATACTATCGTGTTCAAAATAAATATTTTTGGGTTGCGCCTTGGGTTTGAAAATAATCAATATTAAAGCTTTCCCGTATTTCTCCTGTATTTTTTTATTCTTATATAAATAAATGTTCAATATGTTTTGTGTAGAGAATTGAATGAGGAGACTTTTAAAAAAAAGATTAAGGTTTGAAGATCAACCTTGACAGAGATATTGAGGAAATACTGAATGAGACAGGACTTCATTCCACCCTTTATGCGTGTATATGCAGCATCATGTACATTATTTCTATACGTAAAACGTAATCATAAAGCCGTAAATCATAGGGTTGTTAAGTCTCTGATAATCGAGCGTTCGAACGTAAAATTATAATTTGAATATTTTTTTAATGGTAATTCAGAAATCGCTTCGCAAAGACTTGATAGAATTGATAAACATGATTTTGGAAGCTGAAAGCATAACATCTACGATTTTATCCATCATTAATTATATGAAATACTATTGTTATTTTACATGTTTTGTTTCATTATAAGATACAAGAAAAAGACTAAGAGGACATATTAATCCTTTTTTCACTGAACAACAACTAGTGACACAGTCAATTATCTACAAAACGCATGATAACTGTTTTTTTCATAAGTCGCACTTTTAGTAAATATATGCATTTTATAATCTAGTTGATATCAACGGTATTTGTTAACTGATACAAAAAGTAAAAAATTTTCATTCTGATCCACGTTTATTAAAAAAATTTAAGTTCCATTTTGATCGGCTATGATCGATGATGTTTTTACTAAATACTTTAGATGTTTGGTTTGTGATATGAAATATTTTTTGAGAACTTGCCTTCTTCCTATCAAACAATTTACATTATTTTCATTCACAAGAACTATGACTACGGCAAGAATAGCCGTTTGTCAATTAAATTCTACTGCTGATAAACTATTAAATCTTCAAATTGGTCAACAATTGATTCGCCAGGCCAAAGAAGAACAACAAGCACAAATAATATTTTTTCCAGAAGCATTCGATTTTATCTGTGAAAATAAAGTGAAAACCGTCGAACAAAGTGAATCAATAGATGGACACATCATGCAGACATATCGAAATTTGGCCAAACAATATCAGATTTGGTTATCATTAGGTGGGTTTCATCAAAAGGTACGTATTTTTGAAGTTCAAGAACTTTCATTCTGACGTTCTATTTAAATATTTTTTTTCTTAGTTTCCAACTGATACGTCTAATCGAATATCGAACAACCATTTGTTAATTAATTCTGATGGTCAGATTGTGTCCCAATATGCTAAAATTCATTTATTCGATGTTCTAGCCGGAGCTGTACAAATGAAAGAATCGGATTATGTCAATTATGGAATGGAAATTGTCTCACCTGTACAGACACCAGTGGGAAAAATTGGACTAGGAATTGTATCTTTGACTTAGTTTATATATTGTGATGTTATCAAGATAGATGAGTATCGTAAACCGATGTTTGCGTATCTGAAATGAGATATCTCCGAGCTCTACACGACCTTTCTTTGCAAGTTATAGAATTTACAAGAGAAGGCCTAAATGTTCATTGTCAGCTCAAAGCTACAGAAATAAGGAATTAATTTAGGGCTTTTCTTGTAAATTCTATAACTTTGCAAAGAAAGGTCGTGTAGAGCTGGAAGATATCTCATTTTAATCAGAAATTTGCGAGCTACAATCATGCCTCACTACGAAAGGTTTTGGTTAGTCTTTAGAGTTTCTAAAAACATGGTTTTACAGAAACTCGGTCTCTGGAAGCCTAGCAGCATAAACCGATTACCGATTGTCCACTAGGTTTCAAGCAAAGAGCGATTGCACACTTCGGGACCTTTCCTCGCTAGTTTAACACAACATTATTATCACAAAAAAAAAATCTAATAGCCAATGTTATTTTGAACAACTTCGACTACAGTTAAAAGAAGTGAATAAGTTTAAAAAAAGCCTCAAAGATTTTCAGCAGAATGTATGTGTATGGTTGTTAGAGGGATCACTCAAACATCGTTCACTCGAGTATCGGTTAGTCCATGGGTGTACCTTAACATCTGACTAGTGTTATGATTTGAGATTTGCAGAATATGCACGTTTATTAACCGAATTAGATGCACAAATTTTAACATATCCAAGTGCATTCACAAAACATACGGGAGAAGCGCATTGGGAGGTAAACACAGTAGCTTAATTGATACGTTATAGATAGATATGAATTGTTTTGTTTCGTTTTTAGATTCTTCTTCGTGCTCGTGCCATTGAAAATCAATGTTTCGTAGTAGCTGCAGCTCAAGTCGGTCAACATAGTGCAAAACGAGAATCATATGGACATTCATTAGTGAGTAACTAACAACAGACTCGTTATAACGTTTAAAAAATATATGTCATCAATATAAACTTAGTTTCTTTGAGACTAGTGTCTGATATAATCCAGTATATTTTTGACATTTATGATATATCTTGCATTTCAAAGATTGTTGATCCATGGGGTAAAGTGTTATTAGACCTTGGATTAGATGCACCTGTTGTTAAAACAATTGAAATTGATCTTAGTTTGATAAAAACAGTACGTGAAAAAATGCCCATCTCACAACAACGTCGACGTGATCTTTACAGTTTAGTTTCAACGTGTAAAGGTATAGCTGACGTTTTCTACATCATTTTTACATATTTAATAAATCCTCATTTCTAGTTCCGATTCAGAGTGAACCAATCCATTGGGGTCAACTGACAATTACATCATCACAATTAATTTATCAATCATCACTCAGTTTTGCAACAGTGAATAAAAAACCCGTTGTACCAGGACGTATGTATTACCTTCTATTCAACTTACGAGGGAATCTCCCCAAATATCCCCTCGTTTTTTTTAAACAAAATGTAGTAGGTCATAGGTAATCGACCATGCTGATTTCGCATATGATTCTTCTAATGAATGTATGATATATGATTTCTAATTTGCTGGAAAACCAGTTTTCGAGCAACCACCTAGGAAAGGTCTATGGACCCAAATGAATATCATATGCGAAATCAGCATGATCGATTACCTATAACCTACTACATTTTGTTTGAAAAAAACGAGGGGATATTTGAGGAGGCTCCCTCGTTAACGTAGATATTTTGAATTTGCTTAATATTTTCTAGATCTATTGGTGTCACCATTTCGTTGTGTTGATCGTTTTTGTGATTTAACAGCAGAAGAAATCTCGGATTTGTTTACAACAGTTAAACATGTAGCTAAAATTATTGAACAGCATTATAATGCAAAATCATTTAGTATAGCAGTGCAAGATGGTGAATTTGCAGGCCAAACAGTTAAGGTAGGAATGGACAAGAATAAATATAGTTGGTTAACTATTAGTCCATACAAGTTTTGAACAATAGAAACCTATATACTAAAATAAAGTTCTAATATTCACAAAGTCCTTTTTGCTCATTTTTTAAGCATGTTCATGTTCACATTCTGCCACGAAAACCCGGTGATTTCGACGACAACGATACGATTTATCATGAGGTATTATCCTTACTCTAACCTGCGATTTCACTCTATTGAATCCGTTCTTTTTAGCTGGCTCATCACGACAAAAATGTGAAACACTGGCGTACAGAGGAAGAAATGTTGGCAGAAGCAGTTCAATTGAGAAAATTATTTTATAGTTCATCGACCTAATTAAAATTAATCTAATTAAGTCGTTGTTACATAATATTTTGATATCTTATTTTTTGCCATTTTCTCCACATAGTTTTGGGGGATAACTATTGAGTTACAAAAAATACAAAAGTTTATTGTGAACGTCAATTTACAGTTGCACATTCTAATACAACATCTTCATTTACTGTACCTTGCCAGTACAAAGCATACATGTGTTTGGTACTCCATCCAAATTTTTGTAAATAAAAGTATTTTGTATAACGCCTCCTCTGATTTTCTCCCAAAGAGGAAGAACAAGAAGTGAAAGTTTGCACAGAAAGAAATTGCTGGAAATGTGAAAATTTAACCGGTCAAGCTAACGCAGAAACTTAATAAAATTAAAACAAACTAATGTAAATGTACACAATCGGGCATAGGTTTCATCCAGCTCCACCTTAGTCCATCACGTTTGAATGGAGGAGTTACACTTTAAATCCAAGGTCTGCGCTGATAAGATTTTTATATGGAGGATACAAACAGTTCAGACACACAGTCACTTCTAAACAGAAAGCCGCGAAAAAGAAAAATCTGTTAATGAAATTAGTCATTCAAGAATTGTTCAGCTCACTCAATTTATACTTGTTCATAAAATTGATTCTTGAAGATCAACGCTATATGTTTGACTGAATAATCTTTAAGTTCATTATTTTCTATTCTAGTTAATTCATTTTCGTTATCGAAAATCATCTTTTTGAATTTCTTCCTTCTTGGTGATATCATAGTCCACTAATATGATGCTACTTTAGTCATAATTTTGTCTGTTACTTAATAGTGAGAGAATTATATACCATTCTTTAGATCACATAGAGTCAGAATGCTGTCTTAATAACCCATTCAATAGAAATTTCCTTGTCCAATTGTCGTCTATTTCTGTTGCCTATGGAATTTTTCCGTTTTTCGAACGTTTTTGTATATACACATCATTGTTATCATCAAAACGAGAAAAAACATATACTGGAGTGCGCGTGTAAGTAGGAGTGTTGAAATTCATGTCATTTCTGAAAATATCTTATTATATATGTCTACTACTGCTGCAAATTTTTTTTGTACGGCCCTAGATGCTTTTTGGTTTTAACCACAAGTCAGCAGATGAATGGTCTTTTAGCAAACAGTTTTCACCAAAAATGTTGTCCATTCCTCCGAGTATATTTATGGGGGAAAAATTTTTTAAAATATTGGCGATTCTTGTCTGTAGGTTGACATCAATGCTCAGGTACCTTTCGAAGAGCTGCAAAAATGTTCCATACGACTGATGTAATTGATTTTTTGACCCATCAAGGAAGTTTAAAGCTATGAAAACTATACCAGCGGAAAGAAGAGAGGATAACGAACATTTTGGTGAAAAAAAGTTTTTGAAAAAAACTTTCTCAGGGCGGACAAACCGATTTTAAGGTAAAGTTGGCATGCTCAACATGCAAACTCTGTATCTCAGTAATGAATGGGTGAAAATTGTTTTTTAAACATAGCAATGGGTAGAGTATCAAAAACTACGTAAGAAAACGGCTATTTAAAATTTTGCGAAAAAAATTTAATCCATTTTTTCGTTTGTCTGTTACGAACTCCATTCAACGCATCCTTATTTTTACAGGTTTTTAACTTTTTATCATTTTCTTTATGTTTTTAGTCAAAGTCAATAACATATTCAGAATCAGCAAACAAAAATGGATGAAAAAGCAAAGTCTTAAAAACTATCTAAAATACTTTTTTTGTTTATGAAACCGAGTGAACCGTACGAAATACTTGATGCAGCTTTTTCTGAAAATAGGTGCTTTTACTAGTCAAAATACGCGTATTTTCCTTGACAGTTAATTCTGAAAAAAATTGAGCGATTTATCTGGTTCAGAATTAACTATCAAGGAAAATACGCATATTTTGACTAGTAAAAGTACCTATTTTCAGAAAAAAGTTTTCTAAAAGAGAATTCTAAATAGAGATTTTTCGAAGCCAATTTGAATTCGAAGTTCGACAGACATTTTGTTTTTTAGACACTATTTTTCTTTTAATTAAAGGCAAAAGTAATTATTAATTTCGATTATTTATTTATTTAACCATGTTCTGATTTGTATTCAGTTTTTGTTATTTTTTCACATTACTCATTAAGGTCTTTGCATTGGAAAAGATAAATGATGAGCACCTTTTTACTATGTGTAAGTTTTGTTCCATTTGTTGAAAGGATTTTTCCTTTTGGTGGCTTTGTGTTCAGAAGTGGCTGTTTGCCTGAACCGTTTGTACCCCCCATATAAAAAAATACTTTTGTTTACAAAAATTTGGATCATTCATATTCAGTGTGAGAGCATTTATAAAATTACTTTTTCACAACTTGTAGCCAGCTTACATGTTCTTTAAGCACAGTCGTGAAAATGAATTGCTTAAAGGTGCATAACCACAATCTTTTTAATGCAGTGTGAAAGCAATATTGCATTGTAGTAATAAACTGCGTCTTGGATCTTTCCTTTCTAGAACGAAAAAGTGTCATTTTCTGTAACAACTTTCTCAGGAACTAGAAGAGGTACAGTAAAATTTTAAACATGCATAGAGAACTGTGTGTCTGAATTAATAAATAAGCTATTTTTAGTCTTTGCAGATGTTCTAGTGGAGAGTCAGAACGTTTGAAAGTACATAATTTGAACGTCTGGGATTTGTAATTTTTTTTCCACAAAAAACGATAATTAATCTGAGTCATTCATGTGCAGGTGCATTTATAAGAGAGTACATTCCCATACTATGTGATTCATTACATGACAATGTTTTTATATGTATTCAGCGAATAATTAATGCAATGTCTAGCCTCTAAATGTATCTGTTTTAAAGATAATTAACGCAGTATATAAGATAAAATCTCTAGACTATGATAAAGGTTAAAGCTTAGTTGCACTGAGAGTGTATTTAGCTGCTTCGCACCGCATTTGCAACTCTCGCTGGTGTGATTGCCGACTAGTTGAGATTGTGCGAAGATCAAAACCTGTTTCAAATCTACTTTTGTTTTGTATTCCTCACGAGCAAAAACAGGATGATAATGTTATATGATTAACTCAACTCATCACAATGACCCTGAGTTACCATGTACTCATTCACAATAAAGAAGGCAAAAATCATTTCTGCATCGTCTTCTTAAGTTTAAAATAACACAAAATGTCATCGCCCGATATTAGCAGCAAGAATGATAGCCGCTTCGGACAGTAAAGGAAGTGAACGACTGAGTTTAGAAAAAATTGAATATTTGGGTTCGAAACATCCTTAATTCTAAAGAGATTGAAGAATGATGTTTCTTCATTAGTTTACTGTGCAATACATGCAGATTATACCAGAAACATAGAGAATAACCATAATTGCTTGTAAGTAGTAGAATGTAGAGTAGTGTTCTGTTACCTCAGTATCATAAATCTCTGTTGGGATCAAACATATTGTAAGTTCATGCGTTTAGCCAAAATGATCAGGAAGTGGATCTTAATAATCAACATTCACTTCATACTGTCAAAGAAAGTTTTCATTATTCATTCTGTTGTATAGTTTTTGTCCATTTTGACACAAATATAAAATGACCGTTTAGTGTTTGGAGACTATTTTAATATCGATTCAACCAATTGTTTTTCGGTACATTCAAAACAAAATATATCGAATCATATTTGAGAGGAATTTTTTCACCATTTTTGTAAATTCTTCCAGTTTCAGTTCTTGTTATAACAACTTTTTGTATATTTTACAACTGGTACAAATCGTGGATAGACCAAGCGTTTGTCCAGTTACAACGTCATAACCGGTATATTGTGATCTAACACATTCGATACAAACAAAAAACAACTTATTTACAACATTTAAATAAAAAAATGAAATCCAAAGTTAGTAAATAAAACTATTGTGTACAGGATCAATGAATAGAAGTGTGATTTTCATTTTTGTAATATTCTCTCACTTGTAATCATCTGGTAGAACCGATTTCATGTACGTATTGTAATGTTTAGTGTTCTGGTAGATTAAAGTTAGCACAAGTGAACTAGACAGACAAGATTTTAGCTGTTTGCTTGATTATATTCACAAAAGCTTAGACAGTCAACTATGAGCATTGTTAACATCATCTAATGGATAACTTGAAAATGGATTTTGCAGTTTTTCTGGGGCTTCTTTCAACATTGGTATTTGAAATTTGACTCGACCATTGAATGGTGATACACGTTTTGCTGGTTTATCATTTACACTCGATTTTGTATTATCATTTCGAATAACCAATGGTCGAATAGTACTTGGTGAATCGGTAAGAAGAATGTCGCGACTTGTTTTAGTTACACATGGATGATGATCAAACATTATTTCTCTATCTAGACGTTGATCATCTAACGATAATGATCTTTTAAGAAGTACTTTTCCTGTTGAATATCTATGATCATCATTTGTTTCTTGTTCAATTTGCATTTGTTTTGGTGAAACAGCTGTTATCATTTGTACGAGAGCACTTTTTATGGTAGTTTTATCGACGCGTTGGAATATATGTTGTTTATAGAGATGAGCATTACGACATAAATGTAACATGACAATATCACAAAGGATGGATGCCAAACCGAATATACCGATGATACTACCAATGTTGAATGTTAACGTGATAATGTCAAATCTACCACCTTTGCCACTAACACTGATGATAAATCGGAGACCAAAAGCTTTGGTTAGTATACGATAAGAACGACTGGTACGTTTCCAGTGAGAAGCAAACCTAAATAAAGAAGTAATTTTGAAATTGCACAAACGGTATGTTTTATGTGGAAGAGAGTGTACAATTGATATTGAATGATGACTTTTTGAATGTATGTTGTTTACTTCTAACATTCATCTCTTTCATAAATACATTTAGCATTAATTTCTTATAGTATCTTCAAAACGATCAACTGTTTTTTTAAAATAAATCATTCTATAAATTGCAAAGTCATCATAATTTGCAGCTTGCTAGTGAGCATAATGCTGATTGCTCTAGCTTTTTAGCCTCAAACAATTTGCTATATCTGAACAGTATTCACCGTGTCTGAAATTAACTTTAAGGGCACCTCTCCGTTTCCGGAAGTGATAATGATAACGATTTGAGTTTGTTTAAAATGTTTAGATATGGACTTAAGTGTCCTTTGAAAACCAGAAATTTTCTAAAGAGAATCTTAAATATTTTCTTTAGAAATGATGAATATTTTAATTTTCAGTAATGCAATAAATTCACTCTTTTTTACCCCGTTTCACAGCTATAGCTCGAGCCAAGTTAAACTTTTAGTATTTCCGACCTTTGAAAAACCCACTAAGATGAATTTTGGAACCCACACTTCTTTTTCAACGGTTCATCCGATCAATCTGGTTCCTTCACACTTTATGTTCAATATATTGTGTAGATGTGCCCTTTCAGCAGACAAAAATTGAACTGATCTGTAGTTGTTGAGATATTTTGGAAACAAACGATTTTTTCCTTATTTTTAAAACTCTTTTGATGATTGATACGCGCACAATAGATAATTAAATAAAGGTTAGAGTGAAAAGCATCAAACAGAAGTTTGTATGATTCATAACATAATGAATTACTACATTTCTATGTTGATGTTGTTTTAAGTTTCTATTGTGCTAAAGGAATTCCGTATAGAAGGTTAAATATGAAACCACAACGTAAAAAAACGCTTAATAATAATAATAAGAAAAAATTCCATCATCAATAACATATATGTTACAGAATGTTAACTAACCGAAAGTTTTAAGTACGTGAAAATTATTCTTTCATATGAATTTTATTTGGTCAAAGTCCTAAGAGTAACTCCTATAGGATATTAGTCAAGTAGCGTGGATATAAAATTAGATCATAAAACAACACAGATATATCGATTAAGTTACTGTTCCAAAGCAGAATTCTAATTTTTTTAAAAAGTTTCTGTGCGAAATAAAAAACTATGGTCTTCTATTTTGGCTTTCATGTTGTATAATTGACAATGGTCTTATATTATACGGGGCGGTTTATGTTTCTTTTTGTAGGAAAATAAACTCTGTGTCTTCTGATCATAAAACAAAATTTTTTAAGCTTGATTTCAGTTGGATTATTATTTTTCTGTGTATCATGTCACTAGGAAAGATTTGATAAGATATGGTGCGGTAGCAATTCGTCTACGTACCTGAAATTGAATCCTTTTGAAAACTTTTCATCTTTATATTTTGCATCTAACCTTCCAAATGAGTAGATGGGAACACATCGTTTAGGATCAAAATCAAAATTACAATCCCAATCAAGTTTAATTTTAATTACCCCACCATATTTCAGCATCAGATCACGTTCGTCCGCTTCACTTTCAACTGCTTCAATAATTTGTGATAAACGAAATATCGGACATGTTTTATCTTTATTCTCATCGAAAACGCACGGTTGCATATTATCAGGAATGTTTTTGCGTATAACATTAAATTCGGGAAACTCGATAAAGTTTTTTAAAAATATTGTAAAATTCAATATATCTTGTATACGATCTGGGGGAATTCTATCATTCTCCGCTGGACACCATCCCGCAATTTCACAGAGACCGTTGGTAGCATTTTCTTTTATTAAACAGTTGCCTGTCCATCGACCATTGGTATTTGATGGGTCTATGTTTCGCTTACAATCTTCATCTGACGTACAATTTGCTTCGTCAACACTTATTGCTTCTTCACATTTCGAAAGCATCTGGTCAGTACGTATAAAACTTGTCATTATAAAAATGGCCGAATTTTCGAGTGCGGGTATAACATAATCGGCTACATCGATAATCGTTAACTCTTTCTCAACTGTTGGCTTTGTGTAACCAATACCTTTGACTTTTAGTGTAACACATGAAATGATGGTGGTATCTTGTTTCTGATATCCTTTTTCATAAATGAGCAGATAAAAAACGCCGTAGAGCAAAATAACAACTTGTATAACACGCAAAAGAAGTGTAAATTTTAGCGAGTGAATAGTGACGACTTTCGGTGTTTCGTATTCGGTGGCGAAATCATAGATGGCCTCTTTAATTGTTTGAGGGTGGAACAGTTTCAGCACTGGTGATAAGAGAGACCTAGCCATTTAACTGAGATTAGATCTAAAACAGATAGAAAAAATTACCAATGACGAAGCTTTCTTGATTATACATTCTGCACACCGGAATTTTCTATTTTAAAAGTAGACCTTGTCGTCGCCTTTGTTGTTATTATCTCTTTTGGAGGCAAGCGTTTAATTATCTAAAATTAGAACTCAGTCAGTCCGTTTACTTGTCCGTTCGGGCAAGGTCTTATCTCGAGAATCATAAATCCTCTGATGGGTGGGAAGTGTTTATTTTACTCCTCGTATACTGATTATTCACCGTATGTTAAATTTAAAGGTTCAACCTTCTCTCATTTTTATGTGGAAGACGAATAACAAATACAGAGCAGTTTTACTCAGTTTATCTTGCCGGATTCGACAATATTGCTTGTTTGGGCAAGATGAACTATTCAAATAGCAGGTTTATCTATCATGCAGACGGATATAGTAGTACACAGAGCTTTACTTTGAGTGATTATTATCATCCACAGGTGGTCCGTTGCAGAGTCTATGCAAGACTGTGAGCATTTATCTATAGGGCAAAAGCTTTTTATGCACAGTCGCCCTGTGACAACTGGTTTTCGCCCTATCGACGCTTCCATACGAAGAAAATTTTGGATGCGTTCTCTATTTTCATCAGTGAAGAAATTCTTATATACTGTTGACAAAAGAGAGAAAAAATATCAAGTTTCTTACTTTCTTCTACATTTAGGTCAAACGTAACAAAGCAGAGAAGAACCAGCTGCTACTCCATCTGATAGCGTTCCGATCATCTCCGTAGAAACGACAATTATGCAGTACACAGCGTAAAAGGAATAAGAGAATCAATTTGAATCTAATCTAAATACGTTCTAGTTCATTTGGTTCCTTTTAAAACCTCTTTAAAATGTCCAGGCTAAAAAACACATTATTCACATTATTAAATAGTAATTTTCTTACACGTTATACATACAGAGACTTTTTCAGCTGATTACAAATAAAAATTTTATTATTTGAAACGCGCTATGAAAATATATCTTTTCCTTAACGAGAAGAACTACTGAAAAGATGTCAGCCTTCTTGTCTGTTTGGATCATAAGACATTATCAACTGTCGGCTCTCCAGCATTAAGAAGAAAGCATCATATCACTCAAAGAAAACTATATATGATGCAGTTTTTGACGCTCTACCACGTGGAATAACTGTCTACATGCGCTATACCTTTGATTTATGCGCTAATGCGTTGAAAGAAAAAAGTGTGGAAATCTTGCCAAAACGGATAAGATACTCCTTGCCCGATCAGATCATATTGCCTATTCGGGCAATACATCTTGCCGAGACGGCCGATCGGGCCAGAAAGCATAACAACGGACTGCCAGTATTCAGTGACCTTAAATCGATACTTTAGATTAGGGCTGCTACATTACTATTACTAGTAATAAGTAATAACAAAAGCGTTATTACTTATTACTTGGTAATAAGTAATAAATTTCAAAAGTAATAAAAGTAATAAATGATAAGGTAATAACTGTTATTACTTATTACCACGTAATAAGTATTAACTACAAGAAGTAATAAAAG